TCTGATGTTTCGGCAATATATTACTGTACAATGTCAACAGTTTCACATACTACTCAAGAAAATGACGATTTTCTTTTTGATGACGAAATAATTGAGAGTATTTTAAACGACAAAAGGTACGAAGTTGCCTAGTGTTGTATCTTTCTTGCTGATCATTTTTCAATTTTGTTGTACATAGAATGCATTAATGAAAAGTCTAACTTTAATCAAAATCAAGGACAAGCTAGCAATGGACATGACTATGTCAATTCTACAGATATTTCTGAAAGTTTCCAGAAAATATCTTTATTATCAACATCCAATCATGATTTCATAGTGAGATATAATGAAGGGTTCTGTCATTTCTTCCATTGTTTGTTGTCACTTATAGTCAAATGATTTCCAATCGTCAATAAATCTGAATTCATTCGATCTGAATTCAATTCCACTAAGTCGATCACTTATTTCTTTCGTTAATGATTGTGAACAAGTAACGCAACAACCGACAACAAGCACTGATGAAGAGGGTGTGGCTGTGGCTGTTGTTCGTTTCTTAGCCTACTCACACTACCACATCCACACCCACACCTTCTTTAGCCTCATTTTACTAATAGAAAATACGTCAAGACAAAAAATCTCACAGACTATCGGTGTTTTTCAAGATAATTGATCGTTAGAGATGCGAGACAAGAATGTTCCATAATTCTCTATAACAATCTAACTCTTGTTGGTCAATCCGTTGAGTGCTTTTTTCCGTTGATAAAACGTTTTGTAAGAAGAATTCATCGACTATTATCGTCGGTTGATATAGAAACATAATCAATAACCAATCCGGTTACTAAGGTCCGTAAAAGATGCAAGAGAATGTAGAGATCCAAACTTCGATTTAAAACTTGTATTTACTATTTTATTCGAAAATAATTGTGAGTTCAATAAAAGTTTAAATGGTATTTTTATCTTAATCAGTTTTAAAGAAAATAATAAAATCACTGATTTTCTTCTTATTTATTTTATGAAGGAGTAATAGGCAAGTATTTAACATGAAAAATTGTTCCAATAATATTGATTATTGAAAACTTCTATGATTATTTCAATCATAATATATCATATTGGTATTGATTTCTTTTAATAATTGTCAATGATAGATCATATAAATAGTTTAAGTGTTTTTCTATATTAATATTCGTTGAGATAGTAAATAAAACATGTCTAAAATATGATATAATTGATGTTTTTTTAGTTACAATAGAAATAATTTTGCCGATAATAGGTAGGAACTATTATTACAAGTGATGTATCAATTGAAAAGAACAATAAATTTCTATTAGTTAATTTGTTACAAATGAATATATTTAAAATGATTTGGTTTCAAGCGGAAAAGAAAAAAAAAAGAAACGCAGGAAAGCAAAGACGCTCATTTTGAAATAAAAAAATTGTTTTATGCTCTGTTGCCATGATTTTCAACACGTTCAAGTAATTCATCTGCATAACCAGGTGAATAATATCTAGAAAAACAACAGAACAAAATAAAATAATAAAATAAAAGCTAAAACATACTTGACAACTTCTTCTGGAAAGCAACTATTTATTATATTGATATATTCAGCCAAAGGTGAACCTTCTTCAGTTTTTATTTCTTGAATCTACAAAATAAAAAGCAAAAAAAAAAAAAAAAATATTTTTCTAAAGAAAAAAAAAACAATGCAAACCTTTTTAAGTCCACCACTAGTAACAAATAATCTTCGTGCTTTAGCATCATGTGGAAGTACTTTTGAAAATTGTGCAACAACATGTTTAAGAATATTTGGTGATGCTTCATGTAATAATGGTTCTAATACAGGTAAATAAACACATTTTTGAAGAATATTTTTTAAAGCTTTTTTTGATTTTGTTTGTAAATCTTCAGATAAATCTGTACGCATATATAATTGAAGTAATTTCGGTAAAACATTTGCTACAGCTACAGCTTTAGCATGTTCTGGTGTATGACGACCTATTTGACCTAATAGAATTTAAAACAATTATTTAATATTTAACAATCAGAATAAATTAACAAACCAAGTGCCCAAGCTGTTGCTGCTAATATATGATCTTCTGTTTCTTCATTGAGTGCTATTGATAATTGATTAATACCCTATATTTATTAATAGTTAAAAAGAAGAAAAAAAAAAAAAAACATGATTTTTTTCAATGTATTTTTTACCTTGGAAACAATAACAGCCATGGCTAAACTTTCAGTATGTGCAGCTGTATAACCAAGCATCATAATACCTGGTAAACGTACATTTCCACGAGTTGTTGCAACATAATCAACAACAGCAGCAACTCCACCAGCATTAACAATCATTTGTGCTAACTAAAATTGATTTAATTTTTTTGTTTTTAATGAAAAAAAAAAAGTTAATTGATTTAAAGAAAAAAAAAAACCTTACTTCAGGTGTATGTTTAACAATTTCACGTATAAGTGTCGCACAATTTTTTTTCACATATTCATCGGAATCATTTAAACATGCAAATGCTGCTGGAAATATTTCAGCTTCAACAACCATTTCAGCTAAATCAACTGAATGTTTAGCTATTTGACTTAGAGCTGAAAATATTTGTCGCTTTATAAATAAAAAAAAAAAAAAAACAAAAGAATAATTATTAAGAAAATAAAAATTTTTTTACCTTAAGTTGAGCATCAGGATTAAGAATCATTTGAGCTAGATGTGCTATAGCTCCAGCATCAACAACTGTTTGTGCTAATTCAGGTGAATGTTTAGCTATATCGGATAGTGCTGATGCAGCAACACGTTTTAAAGCTATTTCAGGTTCTTGTAAACATAATACAAGTAATGGAACACTACCGGCATCAACTACATGTTGAGATAATTCTAAACCAAATTATTTCAATTATATTAATATTAAATAGTCATATTGTATTGAATTAGAAACATTTTTTTTTTGCTTCTAACTATACAATCGAAAGAATAAATTATTCAAAATAAACAAAAAATGATCATCATTGTTCGTACATATACTTTTTCTATACATGCTTCATTTAGGGATCATCTCGATAATCTTTAAAAATTTCTAGCAGCTTCAGAGCACTTTATTATTTTTTTTTTACTCGAGAACCTTCCTTCGTATCCTGGTCATTTCTGGACATCCCTAGTTGATGATTATCGTTTTTATCTCTTTCTTTTACATAATTCTGTAAGAGAAATAATTGTTTTAGTGAATTAGAATGAAATGAATCTATTGAAACTCTACATTCGAATAATTTTTGATAAAATATCCTCTTATTCTATTAGATCATATTCACCACAGTAAAATCGAATGTTTTCAAGGTCGTCTCTTCTTTACAGTTTAATGGACATTTTTCGTTATTTAAATAGACGGTTTATTGTGAATAAACATAGTAATTTGTTTATTGTTGAATGTATTAAAAAAGAATCGATATGTAAGTATGTCAAACCTGCATTGTGTCGTGCAATATAGCCAAGTGCCCATGTTGCTGCTTCTTTAACTGATGGATCAAATTCTTCTAGACAGACAACAAGTGCATCGAGTGCTCCACAATCAATAACTGATTGAGCCAATTGTGGTGAATGTTTAGCAACAGCACGTAAAACAAAAGCTGCTGCTTTTTTATAAAATCTCTAGAAAACAAAAAAAGAAAAAAAAAGAATTTCGTATCGATAAAAGAATGTTGTTTAATTTTTAATACATTTTGTTCAGCCAATGAATAAACCAATTGTGGAAGAATATCACCACGTACAACAGATTCAGCTAAATGATCAGAATAATTAGCTAAACGACCTAAAGCAAGTGCAGCAGTTTGTTGTACACTTGGTACAACATCAAGTAATAATGGACGAAGTAATGCCATGACACCTGCATTTTGAAGAGTTTCAATATTTTGTGGTCGTGTTGCAAGATCGGCTACAGATTGAACAAATGTTAAACGAGCTTTTTGATATTGTTCAAAAACTAAACATTAAACAGATTAAATAAATTGATAAATAATTAAAAAAGAAGATAAATAACCTTGTAATGTATGTCGCTGGCTCATGATTACAGTTAATAAAGCGACAAATGATAGAAAATCAACAAAACAATGATAACTACTACTACCTGCAACAGTAACAAACAGTGTTAATGTATGTTAGTTACCAAAGCGACCATTGAAAATTGGTCTCTATGTTTGTCACTAAGCAATTATTATTCAATAAATATATTATCAGATTCAATCAATTTATTATTTTAAAAAAATAAAGAAATGTTTTACTATATATATAACTATTAATTAAATAGTTATTATATCAAATCATAAAATTATAACGATAGAGGACGCTATCAACTTTATCTTACTTATATATATATAGAAAGAATATTTCAAAAAATAATCTTATCAATTGATTGTTTATATATTAAAAAATTCTTTCATAAATTTCATTTGTACTTATTCTTCGAAAAAGTTTACCTCATAAACAGTCAATGATAGTCACTCTATGAAAAATTTTTCAATTCTAATATAATTACATTTGATAAATAATCTATATACGTATATATAAAATATTAATTATTAAACAAATAGATTTTTTTTTTCTTTGATTTATTGAAAATAGATTAGATTTAATTTCTACAAGATATTTTTGTTTCGAATATTATTTTTCCTATTTCAACAAATTCAATAGTTATATTAAGTTATTTTTCAAAGTAAATAATTCAATATTGATTGTTTCTTTATCAAAAAATTTAATTCAATTGAATTTAAGATAACATAAAGAAATTGATTATAATGATTTTATTATAAATTTTACTACAAAAATAAAGATCAATGATTGAATAATTATTTTCATATAAAACTTTTAAAAAACATGTTTTAAAAAGTCAATAGATATTTAGTTTGTTTTTATTTATATGAATATAAAAGAGAGTTCTATTTGTTAAAACAATGTTAATAGTTCATAAAATAAATTTTATTTATATTCAATTAAATGATGAATATCTAAAAAAAAACAAACAAACGTCTTTAAAATATAATCAATTTCTTTTATTTATAAAGAAACAAAAAAAAAAAAATAATTTGTAGAAAAGTTAATTATTAAGTTTTAACAGTTGTTTGTTTATTCCGTTGTGTTTGTTGTGTTTGTAGAATATTTCTAGTAATTATATCTTGTTTACAACCTAAATGGCTTGCAAATGGAGATGATTTAGGACGATTAAGTAATTGAGAAACACCAACCTAATTTAAAATAAATAAATATAAGAAAAACAAAAATATTTATTTTCAATGATATCTAACCGAAACTCTTTGATTTGTTTGAGAACGAAGATCATTGGGTATATTTATCATTGTACCATTATGATCAGGATGTATTGGATTATTTGGTGAATGGGCAAATGGTGGTTTATTATTACCATTTAGATTTAATGATGAATAACGACTTTGTCTCGTATTCACATGAGAATTATTTCTTTAAAACAAAAATAAAAAAAAAAAACGAATATTTTTTTCAAAAATCCATGATGAATGAATCAATACTTAATTGAATTTGATGAATTATTCGATACATCAGATGATCCTGTTGTAGATTTTGAGTGTACAAATAAAATATCACCTTAATATTAGATTTAAAATTTTATTTTTTTTTTTTTTGGCAAAATCAATTCTTTTTACTTGATGATTGATCTGGATCAATATGAGAAGGATTTCGAAACCATGCTATTGGCTAAAATACATCAATTCAAATAGTGTTCTTATTTTTAAATAAAAAAAAATTATCTTTTTAACTATTTTATCAACTACATTCAACAAAATAGTTCATTTTCTAGAGTATAATTACATATTCAAAATATCAACAATACGAGAAATATCTTTTAAGATGATCATCAAAACTTTTATAAATCATACTAATTTACACTTGTGAAAAATCTATCAGTTACTATTTCAGTTTTCACTAGATTTTGTCATATCGTACACAATTAATCAGGATCATCAAATCCGAATGTTTATAATATAGTGATATAAGGAGATTGAAATATTTTTTATCATTGCTATCATCAATAATATACTGGATGCATAATTAGTCACATAATGAATAAGTGACCAAAGAGAATTTTTAGTCGAAATGCTCGTTCTTGTATAAAGATTGATTAGCTAAGATTTTCTATTTGTGATGTAACTCGATCTACCAAACCACTGTTGACACTGAGAATATCAAGTCAGACTGCAATAGGTATTGCATTTTTTTAAAGTTTAAGATATATAGAAGCAATGTTCGACAATGATCTTTCTATGTAGAAAAAGGAAAAAGAAAAAAGTCTAATTTTCACCGAAAATCGATTAAAATCTTTCTTTCAAGTTGAATATTAGATTTTAATCAGTTCAATATGGAGACATTTCGAGAGAAACGCATTTTACAGTCTTCATCATTCAAATCGATTTTAAAATAAATAATATGATTTAGATTAGAAATTTTTTTTTTCTTTTTCTTTATAGGAACTGTTTATTTTCGTGTCAGTCGATTCTCTACGATTATTTTCAATCTATTCTATTTTAATATTAACAGTATAGACTTCAGGCTACTCCAAAATTGATCAAAATAAGATGATTTAGTTTATTTATCAAAATGTATTAAAATAAATTGTGTAGTATTGAGTTTCATGAATGAATTTTTTCAATTATGAAAATGTTTTGATTTCTATTGTGAAAATTATAGTTACTCGAAAAGATATGAAATAATTAAAATCGAAAAAGTAACCTGTCCATTTGGTTTAGCCAATATGGTGAGACAAGATGGTCCTGTTTGCCATTTCTTTTGTTCTTTCCAAAGAAAAACATATGGTGGCTGTGGAATTATATCTTTCAAATGACCACACCAAACCTTAAAAAAAACTAAATAAAAAATCGAAATATGTTAATAAATGATTTATACAGTAACAGTATGTCCAGCTCTAATAATTGTATTAGATGGAAATTGATAACGACAAATAGATTTTGAATGAATTGTTTGTTGTAAATAATGTTCACTCAAATCATAATCATCAGAATTTGATATATTTAATAATCGAATATAATCACCATTTTTTGATTCAATTTCATGAATACGAATATTTGTTATTATGCTTGAATTATTTTTCAAAGTATAATATAGAATAATAATTAAAAGTAAAATCATACTTATCCATTTTTGATTTTAATTCCGATTGATTTTGTTTCAATGAATGAGAATATAGAGACGGAATTACTGGTGTTGTTATTTCATCAATTGTTTCATTTTCTAAATTAAAATAAACAAAAAAAAATTTTTTTTTTTTGTTAGTTTTGCTAAATAAAAGTGAAACTTGTATCATATTGTAATTGTTGTTGTTGTTGATGATGAAGATTTTCATCAAGAGTAAATGTAACTGATTTAGGAGATTTTGTTCTTGATAATGATCGTTCAGATTTTTTCATATTTGATAAACTTTTAGTTGTTAATGAATTGGAATAATTTTCAATAATTGATGATGAATCATTTGATGATGCAGAATTTAATTTAATACGATTAGTTCGATGAATAAATGGAGAATTTTCTCCACGAATATTTTTATTTAATTTTTTTGATTGAAATCTATCGTTATCATCATCATCATCATCATCATCGTCCCATTCAGATTTTGTTCCATCAATTGGAATTATTCTTCAAAAAACAAAAAATTCTTATTTTAATATAAAGATTACAAAAAGAAAGCCAATAAACGTACTCATCTTCCTCTTGTTCAATAATTGTTTGATTTAAAAAAGTTTTAACAGTTACTAAATCATCAATAATAGCTTGATGTGTTTTTGATACAATTGACATTAATTCATGTAATTTATCATTAATTAATTTAATGGATGATAATTTTTCTTCAAGATTATTAACTATAGAAATTACACGTTTTATTGAATTATGATTAACCATTGTTTTATTATCGAGACATATTTGTTGCATGTCCATTTATATACGAATAAAAAAAAAAAAAATATTTCTCTTTTATCGAAAAATAAACAATTTCTATTTGAAATGCAATATTTAAACACGTTTTGAGTAGATTACTTTTAAATGTGTAAATGTCTCAAAGAACGAAATGTCAAAGTCTAATAACAACAACAACAATAAACGGTAACTAACTGTATGGAGAAAAAAAAATCGGGAAGAAAAAAAAGAAAACTGAAACGTTACTTTTAAGTTATTTGTTAAAATAACATTTCAACAAACAATAATAAAGCGAAAATCAAATGTATTTTATGAATTATTTATATTTAATCGAAATTTTATTTATTTTATTGAATAAATTTTCAATGAAATAAATTATTCATATTTCTTATTAGTTTTTTGAATTAAATTTAATTTCATTTTATATTTAACTAATTTTTATTTTATTTAATTATAATCATATTTTTATAAATATAAAAATTCATCAATATATTTCAATAATTTTCTTCGAATCAATAAAAATGAAAAACAAAATAACTTAAGTCGATCGATGACTTACTCATAAACGATTTATTTTTGTTATTATGCGTATCTTTTTAAGTTTCTCTCATGTCTTCACACCTCTATTAAAAGAAAAAAAAAAGATTTACACATCTTTTTCTTCCTTAATAATTTTTAAGCTCCGAAATAAGAAAACGTATGAATTAATTTAACGAAAAATAATAGGTTTTTTTTTTTTTTATTATGAGTGAACAAATCTGTTGATAATTTTTATTTTTTAAAATAAATATTCTTTCTTAAATAATTAAAATAAAATGATTTAATGTTAAATATTTCTGACAATAATAACCTATATTTATTGTTAATAATAAGTTAGAAATCAAAGATCCCAAACAAATCTATTAAACAATCATCGATCGTTTTTTAAGTTTTTCTTTGAAGTAAAAAAAAAATTAAAAGCACTGAAATCCTTCATAACAAACATTTTTAAATATAATTTTAATTATTTTTATTGAAAGTATCATATTTTTTTTAGTGATTATTAACATTTTAATTCAATTCTTTTCTATTAGTCATTAATTATGAATAATGTTTGATGAAAATTTTCAACTATTAATTAATAAGTATTTAATAGATATGCAAAAAAAAATATAAAATAACTCTTTTAATCTTAATAGAAATTAAATTAATATTCAACATTAATTCTAATGTTATATCACCAGCTTCTATTGATATTTCTGTATATTTTCATGTGAAATTAATGTCAAATATCATCGGTTTTTATCAATTTTTAGATCACTGAAACTTGTCTATTTATTTGTTTTAATTGATTTTCATGGCTTTAATGATTCAATATATATGAATTCGAAAGTTCCCAACTAACAAAGTTCTTGTCATGATCAAAATTCTATCTCTAAATTTTGATATCACACATAATCATTTTCCAATGAAGAACGTCAATAACGTTGAATTTATTAATTATAGTGATAAAAAGTTAGCCACTCATTAAACATCAAAATCTGTTGAAATTAAAGATTTTTCATCTTGACATTTTAGGCTTATTTTTTTTCTCTTCTGATTTTAATTAACTATCCGACATTGTCAATTGCTGTTAGTTATTCTATGTAGTAGTTTTTCATATACGAATTGAGAAGCCTTTTAATTGTGTTAAATGAGAATTTCATATAAGAAATAATTTTAATTATTAAATTTAGTAAATCATTCATACGTTTAGTTATCGAAGTCAAACGAAATAAAACAAAGAAACAATTAAATATTAGTGTTTCTAAAATACACTATTTGATAGAATCAACATTTAAAAAAATATTAGATTGGTTAATGAGCATAACCTAAAACTCAAAAAAAAACAAAACTAGACTAATCACCATTAGTAGATTCAAAGAAATGATTGTCTCTCCCATCCGCAAGTTTTATCCAGCTGAATAGATTACTTCTTGTCTGTTACAGAGACCTGTATTATGAAAATTCTAGATCGACTAGTATCTATCGTTATTATAGTTTTTCTTCTGATATCAACAAGTCGATCGATTAACTAACAATGATTTGTTTTTTTTCTTTCTAGATATATATTGAAACTTCATTTGTGAAGAATATTATTAATAATTTTCTAATGATCGAGAATTTGATGATATAATAGTTGAGAGTCTATTTAAAAATATTTTTAATGTTATTCAAATAGTTAATAGTAAATTTTTGTAGATAGAAATATAAAATCGAAAGGGATAGATAAATATTATTTTCTGTATTTGAAAAAAAAAACAAACAAACAAACAAAAAAAACAAGCATAGGCCTGGTTAAATAAAAATAATGAGCATGGTCATTAATAAATAAAATTAATCTTTAAATCCTGAAAAAGTAAGACTATATTCTAATTGAACTTGATTAGCAATAGTAGCAAAAAGAAAAAGTTGATCATTATAATAAAGTCGATCAATTTTCATACATACAGCATTTCGACGATTTTGTCTTTTACATTGTTTAAATGTAATATCTTGATCATTATCATATGTTTCAGGAAAATATTCAATTTGTTCATAATCTGCCATAATAACACGTTGAAGAATAGGTCTTAAATGAGCAGCTGTTATCCACCAATTAAAATTATGTTCATCTGATGATTTAGCTATATCTTCATTATATTCAGGTAATAATTGATATCGTCGAAGTTTAAGACAAAGTGAATTTAATGAAGAACTTAATTGATTATTTTGTATTTGAGATAAATTTAATGAATATTTATCTTTTTGTTTTTCTAATAAATTTAAATCAACATCTGTTGAAGTATCTTCAAGTGATATACTTCGTTTTAATGTAAGTGCCGTATGATATAAACGTTGTTTTAAAAATCGTCGTTCAGATAAATATTGATAATTATCTAATAAACGTTTTTCATCATCATCATTTTCATATGAATTAAATGTTAAACTATTTGTCATTTTTTATTTTCGATTTTCTAAAATAAAAAAAAAAAATTTTAATAAAGATTTTTGTTAAAATAATTTTTACCTTTTTTTCAATTATTGTTTTAATTCTATATTAATATTGAAAATCTCAATTAATACTATGTTTATCTCACTATAAATATATATTTAAAAGAAAAAAGATAATTTTTTTTTCAAGTGTTTCTCGGGTTTTTTTTTCTTCTGTTCTTTATCGTTTTGTCTCAAAAGATAGACTAAGTCGACGGAAGTTTTCTTATGGTTAATTTTTATTGACGGTTTTTTTTTTTTTTTTCTCTTACAGTTGATATCTATGTTATATAATACAGAAGCTCGAGATAAAGTTGAGAAAACATTTAATATTATTTCAAATATATTAAACATGTTTCTTCAATAGAAAAATATTTTATAATAGACATGACTTTATTCTAAACCAGACATTTTATTAAATATAAATCGTGACATTAGTTCATGACTTCAATTGTAAATATATATTTCAGGATTTATTCATCAATCAGATATTTTTAAATTAAATTTTATTTTTAATATAATAAAAATTTCGAAAATTCTTATCTATATATCAAATTGATAAAATAATTTATTTGCGAGTTTTTAAGATTTAAAAAAAAAAAAGATTTTTTTTTTTAAGTGACAAAAAAAAACCGAACACGTTATTTGTTAATTTTGTCATTTAATGACAAGGAGAAAAATTGATTTCGTTTTTCTTTCTGATATTGTTTAATGAATATTTAAAAATTTTTTTTTTCTCAAATTTTCAAACAAAGATAATAAAATAATTATTTGAATTGAATTTTGTTTTTTTAATTTTAATACTTGAAGGAAATTTTCAACATAGAACAAATTTTATTTTCAATCTATTCGTTACAAAGTAATGAAAAAAAAATCTCTTTTATTTTATTAGAATATTCGATTGAAAAAAAAAAACATATTGAATAGCTGAAACAATTATCAATTGTGAATAATTTTTATTTTTTCTTATCAAATGTGAAATTCATTGTTTTTTAAGGAAAATATTCTCTCTTGGTTAAAAATTGAGACAATCTCTATTCAATGTTAACTACTTTAAATCACTACTGATCAACATAGAAATCATTAAAAAAAAACAATCATTCGATGATGCGATTCCATGAAATTTTTGACTTGTGACTAATTTATTTCATAAATTGAATTTTTCTTTTAACTATTTTATCTAGAAATAATATTTTCTCTTCATCTAAATATTTAAATCATTTATTGATACATTTTATTGTTATAGATTATACAAAACCTATAATTATTATCATTTCAATTCTTGTATTTTCATACATCAAATAGAAATAATCATTCTTTGTTTTTAGTTTGTACGATTTACTCCCCGTTGATTATTTCGAAGAAGAAAAATACAAATAAAAAAAAAGCTAAGAGAAATGTTTATTGAGTGTTTTTTGTTTTTTTCTGAACGTTGAAAATCTCTAACTCAAGTAACAACTTTCAACAACGGTCAACTATAAAAACTATCGTCATGATAAGATTATCACTATTTCATTTAACATTCATCTCTTATGACATATTGGGTTTTTGAGTCTTGATACCATCTCATATTTTTTGTAATCGATGGTTCTTTCTTGATAATGAACAAAAAGTTTGTAAAAATCCTGATGAAAGATTTATTATTGTGATTGAATAATAGATTTGAACGGCATCTTTCAATCAACGACGAAATTGGTTGTCTAATGGTGATATTTACTTTAATATAATCAATATTTATCTCATATAGATATAGACAAAAGAACAAATAATAGGAAAACAGAGAACAAATATAATGTTTGACATTGAAACTTGATCTATGACGTAATAAAATCTGCACCAATGTCAAACTGGAACATAGGCGGCGGAACGATTTCAGTCTAGGGTAGGCTCAACTTTTCAGCCAAATCAAGTCTCCCCATTGAAAAAGTGAGTATTGATAATAGATTGAAACTGACTAGAAACACTTTGAGTATCAGCTATAATAATAAGATTTTAATCATTTTTTAATCCATTTTAATAGAACTTTTTATTGATTCATACAATTTCTCAGATCATATTCGATAAAAACTTCATATAAAATTTGAATTTAATTGATGGAAACCGATTGTTTTCATTTATCACCAAGAACAATCAACTAAAGTCGAATTTTTTATGCAGCTTTAATCGTCTATCAGCAAAGTTACTTGTGATACTCAACGAAATTTTAGTTTTTCAGTTGTCTAAGATTAAAGTTGGTTCAAAAATAGTTAGTTTTGTTTGATTGTAACCGACTTTAAATCGATTTTAATTTGATTTCAATTCGAATTTTTTTGCATGGTGGAAGTCAGTTACGAAGTGATTTTCTTCATTGATATGTTGTTGGAAGCGTTTTAGATTTCACTGCTAGATCTTAAGCCTGTATATATAATTATTTAATGTGTTATTGTTTTCAAACGCAAAGTAAATAACAATGAGAAAGACTATTTACCAAAAATAAAAAATAAAATTATTTAGCATCGAAAAATATTTTTCTCTATTTGATTATTTAAAAGAAAATCAGAATAGATGATGTTGAAGTTTTTGCTGGTTCTGACGATGTTCTATTATACCTTGGGTATGATTAAATTACTGATTGAAATTTAAACACAAAGCGGATTTTCTTTAAAACTGTCCTTGGATTTTTATTTTTTATTTTGAAAGCAAGACAATATCTGACACTCTTTGGCTCACGTTTGTGTGCGGCAAAAGTAATCTTATACAAGTATATATAAGGTTTAAAAGTAATTTTAAATAGAAATCTAAGAAGCCTATTTCAGCGATCTTATATTAAGAACTAAGAATTAGATGTCGATATAGATGTTAACAAAATTCAATCAATACTTAATTGTAAACGAGTTCGTAGCAAAGAAAATATGAAGGGATCTTATAAAGCTGCGTTATTCGTCAGAAAAATAAAAACTAACAATAATAAAAAAGAAACTTTTACATTTAATCGAGTCTACTCAAACCTTTATCTGCTCGAGCTTGAAATTACTACAGTCTACCCACTTCCAGCTTAGGGTAGGCTGAGCCTACCCACTTTCAATCTAGAGTAGGCTAGAGCCTTTTGAGCCTAATGACTCCGCCGCCTATGAACTGGAATTATTTCTTCAGAATTTCTATTAATAATATGTCATTACTATCTTTTGTTAGTCAATAAATGTTAAGATATAAATCCTATTTACTCTCACTAAAGATTGTAACAAAAAAACAACAACAACAGATATTATCTCTTTTTCGAATGATTTTTCTTTTGTTGTTTGATTTCTATTGTCTATTTATAATAAATATATCATTCGATCTAGTCAAGTCTATACTTTTTTGTTATATATTGTATAAGAAATAATTTATATTCAACCGTATTCTGAAATGTTTTCTACATACTTTCATCTCATGTTTTTTTTTCATAGAGAATATCGCGTTCATAAAAAAAGTTTTTCATTTCGGTGAAGTATTCCAAAATTTTTCATAAGATAAAATCTTTGTCTTCGTCTTCCATATGTTTCTGATTCAATCTTTTTATTTACTAAATTTTGCTCATATACAAAAAGAAGTTTTTGCGATGGTATGTACTATTTATACACAACTTGACAAAAATAAATGATTTATCGGTGTTACATCAAACGTTGTTGAAGATAAAGACTCATTCGATAACCTTTGAAAAAAATACAATATCGGATAGCACTGAAGTGTTCGTTACTCTTTATTAAAATAACAATTGATCAATATGGATATTCACAACTTATTATCTGTCGTCCAACATTTATGAGCAAGCATTTAAAGGGACAGACTTGAAAACTTTCCAATGAATACCTTATCAATATGAGTCCTGATGTACTAAATAAAAAATTCTATGTTGATTTAATTAAATGTCAAAATCATATTGATATAATAGTAACAAGATCATAATATACATTTAACACAATTTCATTTTATTATTCTTTTGTATTAACCTTAAAAAATAATCTTTATGGCTTTTTTTTTCTTATCAAACAATTTAAAGTCATAAAATGCATTCAAGTAGCTACTACACTTAGAGAAACATGAAAAAAAATGACAACTCTTGTGAAACTTATTGTAAAAATAGTATCAATTTGAATCAATAGAGAAAAAGTTGTTTGCAATCAAAGCAATTCTGATGACTCTAAATTCAATTTGTTTCTTTATTGGCTTGGATACTAATCTTTAGCTATTCGTTGACAACTCGTCTTTGCAAAGATGAAAGTAACGATGTCCGTGAGAGTTTATCTTTATTATCAAATATAAAAGCTGATGGTAACCTTTTAGTCTCCATTCAACAACAAAAAAAAAATGAAGAATCTATAAGAATAAATTGAAAAAAAGGAAGCTGTTTTTTTCTCTACTGTATAGCTGTCTTTATTAAACAAATTACTTTAATTTGCTGCATACATATTTGAGATCTAACAAGATTGATCACAAGCGAAATCTTGTTGTGACACCAATTATATACATCATTCAAACGTCTCAAATACTGTTTTAAAATTTGTTTTTTTTTCTAGCAGAATTTAATTATTCTCGTCCTATTTACATCCTCAAATGATACTTCTGTAGTCAAATTTACAAAAAATAATTTAAAAATAACAATTGAAAAGTCTACTAAAAAACACAACAAACCCAAAAGCATTAAATCTCGATAGTCTAAATATTTAGCTAAATTTTTTTTATTTTACTCTTCGTATAGTTGGAAAAAAAATGATGCATGCTTTACGAAAATTAATGTTTTATCGTTAAAAAAATTGATTTTTATCGATTTGATAGAAAACGATATTAATTTAAGTTTATATTCAAACATTTTAATCATTAAAACTTCGATTCCAAATAAAACGAATATCATATGAATTACAACGGAAAGTTCTAATACCCAGAATGATCTATATGAAGTTCGACGATAGACACTCTATATTTCACTGTAGATGATATTGAGAGTG